GTATGTGCACAGTTTACAGTCGTCCTTATTTAAAGTTTCAATGACCACAGAAAGTGACAGGACCGTCAGAAAACACAAATGGGGACTGAGATGGATCCGCTGAAGGGTGCATTAGCAGAATATTTGGCTCCAACCGTCGTCCGATTTCATCGGACCCAAGTCTGTGCCTCTGATTGCATTCATCTTCTCCAAAAGGGAATTGAGGCCTATGAAAGAATGGGCTGGTCATGCCGAATATGATCCAGTAGGAAGCGAGGTCTTGCATGTAGCTATAAGCACCCGAGCCTTTAAACTCGGATAATTTTGTCTCTGGTTGCCTGGTGTCGCTGTCACCGTGGCCGGGAAATGGCACTAGCTTCGCCGTTTCTTCGGACGACTCATTGCAATAACAAAGTGCTGCCAAATCACAACCATGAAGAGGATTTCGCGTGGCAGGGATTATTTTTGCGACAAATTTGTGCAGCAATTATAAGGCCTCCCAGTGTGAAAATGAATGATGCCCTCCGGACTAAGGCATAGAGCACAATAGAGGGAATAGGACTAGTGAAATATGCTAGCCTTAGTCCCAACTTAAGAAGAAGAAGTATTCGAAAAAATGGCAAAATTTTAGATCGACTGAGTTTCAGTAAAGCTTTCATAATACCAAGGTGATTTAAGTCTATAAGTAACTTTTTAGGCTATTATATATATATATAGCCTCCAGACCTACTTATAAACGTGTCAACTGTTATAAAAGCTGTACTAAACTAATGCAATACAAAAAATCAGCATTTAAGGAAATTTTTAAATGAATTCCTAAATGTCAATTCGGTCATGTTAAAATATAAATAAATATGAATATTGGTATTGTAGATGAAGCTTTCCTAATACCAAGGTGATTTAAGTTTATAAGTAACTTTTTAGGCTTATATATATATATAACAATCTCTGTGGGATCCTTCACTGAATGTTTATACATTTTTGAGTCATTTAAATTAATCATCATCTTTCTATACAGCCTATCCATGAAGACCACTGTACCACCTTTATCTTGCGCAATCGGGGTGATGGTTAAAATATATACATATATTTTTTTTTGTTTACACACACACACATATATATATAAGGGGCTAATTGTCGTCATCAAACCTTGATGGCCGAGAACGGACGCTATTTTTTCTGTTCTAATTACTTTGAGCCATCACTGCCGTTTTCGTACTTATGCAAACACATGCAGACACATACCTATGCACATCAAGACACACTCACATGCTGGTAACTAACCAATTCAATTAATATCTCATCGAAGAGCTCAGACATTTAGTTATATACAGTATTTTGGGGATAAGCTGGTTAATTTTCTTGATTCGTTAGCATGAATATGATTATACGAATGATAGCCTACTCTGATGATGTCCGTCATACGACGGACATTTGATTCAGAATCGAAGGAGATTGCCTAGGATACAGAGTCAACAAGAATGTTCCAGTGAAGCCAATCGACAGTTGATTAGGATGAATCGGCCGTCCTCATCTGGTAGGATGGAGCTTCAAATCTCTTCAATAAACACGCTGACTCGAAATGGAAGCAACCTCCACAAGTTGGCGTTCCTTAAATTGAATTTCGTCCAGTCTGGCGTGGTGGTTAACGTGTCGATGCACCTCCACAATCCGGGTTCGAGTCCCTCTAGGGGTGCTGATGAGACGACAAGGCGAAGTTGAAATGCAGTCTATCTTTTATAAAGCAAGTCTATGTAAAATTTATTAGAAAAGTAAAGCATACTCATATCATTGT